ATTCCTGCCCCCACCCTCCCCCATTTAAAAAGCCATCTCTCTCCCACAGGACATCTGAGGGCCACCACCACACACACATTTACTGAATTGATAGTACCTCTAGGGACTCTACATCCCAAGAGACTAAGGAAGGGGCTTTAGTTAAGACAGACTAGCACTAGCTACTGTCTGAATGACCTGCCTCCTTCCCTCTCCCATTTCGGAAAGTCCCACTAGTGACTGATTTTGGAAGGTGCTCTTATGTTCTCCAGATCAGAACATTGCAATTAATAATACTGTTCCTCTTGATGTTGTAACCAGGACATTACCATTTTTATTTTATTAACCAGGATGTTATCAACAATGTTGTACCCTGTAACACTCACTAACTTCAAAGAATAACATTGATTTTGCTTTCTGCTCCTGTCCACGCTTGCTTAAGTCCTAGACAAATGATAGATGAGTTTTTTTGCCTTTAAAGTTGGACTGAAATATCCACTCGGGACTGCAATCAATGAGTTGCTTTTTAGATTCTTGCTGTCTGGTTATAACAGAATAAAAGGCTCTTCTAAATATCAAGACATTATAGGATCTGTCACTTATTTGAACCCACAACTGAGTCATATATTGTGCGATCTACATGTGCCACAGCTGAACTGGAGCCACAAGTTCCCACCATGAGCGACTCTCCCATGTCTCAATTGGACACATGGCTGCCTATGAATGTTGGCCCTAATCATTTTGGTGATGTGTGCACCTTACGGCTGGCCAAACTTTAGATTTAGTGGGTCGCCAACTTTTAGGAAATCTGAGGGCTTTAGGTGTTTCCATTCTTTTAAGCCATTTTTAAAATTAATTCAAAGACCATGCAAACATTCTTTAATAAAACTACGTTTTCAACAACACTTGGCACCTGTTTTTATTGATTTTTGCTCTTTACGATTTTCTTCCTTCTGTTTCCTTCCGGTCAACTTTATTCTCTCTTGAGGGTTCTCAGCTGGGACCTTAGAAATACCAGAGGATTTCCATTTTCTTCCTTTCTTTATTTTAAGTACTTTTATTCCCCACCCCCACCCCCATTCTCTTTGCATTCCATTTTCTCAACAAGTGTTTGCATCCCCTCCAAGGATTGTTCAGTCTCCAAGTTTGGAGACTTTCTGTTCTTCCGGTAATGATTTCTGCCTCAGTTCTTTGTGCTCAGACAAGAGGTTTTGAATGATTTTGTGGTGCAGCTTTGCTTCATGACTCAGGATATGGTACATCTTGGCATGGGATCGGTGAGCCAATCTAAAATATGGGGTTAACTTATTATAGAATAGCATATTCTAAAAATGTCAATGAGATCCTTGGTTGATGAGGTTCCTCAGTTCATCAATATCAAGGTTGTGAATGCCTGGCTTGGGGACTGTGTAACAACCCAGAAATCATCCCTATCAGCTAATAACCCCTGCTGGCTAATAATGCCAGCAAGGAATGTCTAGCCTTGCAAATTGTGTTCTTTCAAACACTATCTTTGTGGGATGCAATAGACAGCAACACGTCTAAAGATTAGATAGGATGCTGAAACGGTAGTGAGTTTATGTTAATGGACAAGGATGTTTGTTACTTTGAAAAAGGAGAGTGAGAATGGTTGCACCTCTGAAAAATATAATCCATGCCACTATTTGTACATGCAGACACTGCTCAATTGATGAAGCCTATGCCCTTTGGATTATCGGCAGCAAACATAAAATAAATGATCATTTAAAGCACACATTTTGATAAAGTAAGCTTGGGTAGAGCCATATAGCCATAGTTTGAGCCTCTACATATTAAGCTTCAGAAGAGGAAGGAATGTCAAACTACCCCGACAAACCTTTGATACAAGACTGTGTAAATGACCCCAGATCTCATTAGCAGTAAACAGTAGACATGTATTCCGTCACAAAATTTCTGAGAGACAGGAATCCCGGAGTGGCGGACAATAGGAACAAGGCAAGGCCACTCTGATACGACATTGTGCCAGAAATCCTAGCCAGAATCCTAGTCAGAAACTATGGGAGTATAATTGGGCAAAGAAGAAGTGTAACCCTTGCTATTTGCAGACGATGTGATTTTCTCTAGAGGGAATGCCAAGGTCTCCACAACAGGTTTGTTGGACACAGGTGAGCAATTCAGTACAGCAGCAGGATACAAGATTCACAAGCAGAAATCCATTAGACTCATAAAATAGCTATAGGAGCTGTGAATAATGTCCCAAGAAAACAATACCTTTCCCAATAGCCACACAAAACTTGAAATCCATAGACTCGAGCCTAACCAAAGAGACAAAAGACCTGTACAAAGGCAAACGACACAACATTTATACAAGCGACCAAAAGAGACCCAAACCAATGGAAAGGTATACCATGTTCATGGATAGGAAGACTCCGTATTGGGACAACGTCAACACTACCTAAAGCAGTCTACAAATTCAAAGGAATTCCCATCTACATTCCAACCTCATTCCTTATAGGAAAGGAAAAGTTGCGATTAATTTCATGGGGAGAGGAACAAAGTCCAGGTTAAGGGAAAAACTTCCCAAAGTAGGTGTTCTTACCCTATCGGATCTGAAAATGTATGGCGCAGCCACGGCTATCGAAACAGCCTGGAACTGGGATCATGATAGATACACATTCCAATGGGACAGATGTGAAAATCCCAAAATAAAAGCATCTGCCTACGGACAACTGATTTTCAACAAAGGTCCAAGAACTAGTCAACGGGAAGAGCATGCCCTCTTCAAAAAATGGTTATGTTTCAAGGCACATAAAACCGTCAGGAACAGTAGTGGGAATAGCCATATCATGAGGGTAGAGGGATGGTGTGGGGAGCAGGTGGGGGTAAGTGGGAGAATGGAGCAACCCATCACAAGGTTGGCTATATAGGTCACTCCAAGGGGGATGAATAACTGAAATGTGGGTGAAGGGAGACAACAGGCAGCGTCAGACACAATAAAACAATAATAATAGATAATTGATCAAGGATTCAAGAGGATGGGAGGGTGGGAAGGTAAAAAGAGGAGCTGAAACCAAGGGCTCCAGTAGAAAGAACATGTTTTGCAAATGATGATGGCGACGTATGTGCAAGTGGGCTTAAAACAATTGAATGATGTACAGTGAACCCTCGTTGATCGCAGTTAATCGGTTCTAGACCCTACCGTGATAAATGAAATTCCGCGAAGTAGGATTCCTTATTTGTAAATCAAATATTTTCGTAGTTAGAGCATAGAGGACATGAAAAAACACCCTTTAGTCACCATGACACTCATATTACCCAATTTATTAAACAAAAAAGGGAAAATACAGTAAAACACTTTGGACGTTACAATGATCATTTATTATTTATTATATTATTTATGGCATCTAGTTTACAGTATTACATATTTCACATACAGTATTATTAAACATAGTTCTTACAAATACTGTAATCAATAGCCTATGAAATGACTTAAGGGATGTACTCTACAGGTGGGTCGCCGTCTTTTTCCTCTGAAGGAGCGGGTGTAGGCAGTGGGTGCTGTTACGCAAAAACCGCGATAGAGTGAAGCCGTGGAAGTCGAAGCGCGAAGTGGCGAGGGTTCACTGTATTGCTGAGGGCTCCCAAGGGTGAGCCGGAGGCTGGGTACCAGGAGACCCGAAAGATGTCCTGCTGGGCCCATGCTGTTAGCTACTTGTGTGGACCACACAGTGGCATGGACTCTGAGCAGTGGTGGGATTCTGCCACTTGATACAGATTCAACATTCAGATACTTTTCTCTTGAGTGCGGCGAACTGCTTCTAAAAATGTCACTTGAAATCAGGGTTCTCTCTGCGGTGGGCAACTGGACAGCCACCCAAATGGACATCGCAAATTTGTAGCCCTTCCTCTTTTTCTAAAGTTCATGATGAAGCGGCACCAGTCAAACACTCCACAGGGCAGCAAACCAGTTGTTAAATTATTTGAATTCCACTATTGACTGTGGATTGGTGCCAAGCTTGGGCAAGGGGAGGGCTCCCGGATTAGGACACTTGGGTCTGTGCTGTGCAACGTGCCTACCTTGTCACAGGCATCAGACCCAAAACAAAGCTGCACCCTTCTAAAGAGGGTTTTTCTTTGCCTTAGACGCCATTACAGGGTCCCTGGGTGGGAGGAAGTGGCAGCAGCCTTAGACATGGCAAATGTCTGAGGTGACAGGTTGGGGGCCCTCACCCACCTCAGAGCCCTAGGACAGGAAAGAGCAAAATGGATCTGGAGCAAAGAGAGGAGAGGCAATTGTCAAGCACAAGATCAATCAAGTGAAAGCCATGTTTTGACCAAACTGATCATTTTATTTCAGGATGCATGATTGTCCGTATGTGAATGAGCTCTATAATACAGAATATTAACGCCTTAACCCTAGGAGTTTGATGACAGGTATGGTGACCACAGGTATAAAAGCCATGGCTGGGGTTAGCCTTGAGGGGTTCTGACACTCCTGGCTGAAGGAATATGCCGCAGGAAGGCACATAGTAAACTGAAAGGCCTCAGGTAGGGACATTCACAGGTACCCATGGAATCCACAGTGAGACCTGGGAGAGTGGCCAGTGATGGAAACTTGTATTTCCAGATAGGTTGTGGGAAATCAGTAGTCCTGTCTGGCTCTCGGCACCATTGCAAGGTGGTTGTTGGCACCCATACCTCCGCCTCTTTCCATTTTCCTTTGGGATGTAGCCGTCCTAGAAAGGCCTCTCAATTCAGTTAATGTGTGTGCTGTGCTGGCCCTCAGTTGTGTGGGAGAGAGAGGGCCTTCGGAAATGGGGTCAGGGTGTGGAATCTGCAGGACCCAGAGAAGTCAAGGCTAGACCCATGGTGTGAAGTGTGAGTAGGTTCCGGGTGAAGGCTGGTTTCAGAAGGCTGGTTGGAGGTGGCCGAAATGAGATAGTGGGTGCAGGAATGACCTGCTGGATGGAATTTAGCTCTAGCTGATGAGAGACGATGGCCCGAGCTGGTGGTGGAAAGATGGCGCTGTTCATGGCAGTCATCTAGCTGGTGGGTGGAAGTTGGATATGGTCCATTGAAAGGTTGAGCTCCAGGGTGAAAAGACTGAGGTGCTGGGTGAGAAACTCCATCTCCTGGGTGGTCAGCTGGAACTGGTGGATCTCCTGGGTGTCAGGACCCACCTGGTGTATGGCTGGAGGGTTCTGTGCAGGGACCATCCCGTGGAGGTCATGACTGGAGCTCGTCGGGTCTACTGATGAGAAGTTGCCAAAGGAGCTGCTTAGAGGGCGCTGGCAAGATCCTGGCTCCCCTGGCAAGTCGCAGGGCTCCTGGGCAGGGAGGGACTTGTCTGAGGCCCCTTGGTCTTGAGGATTCTGATTTCCATTCTGGCGACGTTCTCTAGCCAGTTTGGCCCGGCGGTTCTTGAACCACACCTGTGGACACAGAGGAGACAGTGAGAAAGGGTTCAAAAGTGGTGGTGGGTCTTGTGTAGCCTCAACACCCGAACACTGACACTGCTCCCTTGCAAGGAAGGCCTTCCTTGACCACACACTCAATTAGAAGTCCTCTGAGGTTCAGGGAAGTCATTCTGGCACATAGTGGCTTATCCCTTGGGCGAGAAACTGCAACCAGTTTGCATGTCACTGCTAACCTCAATACCCATAGATGAACTCTACCTGGATGTTCTTTGAAAGCAGGGTGGCGACCTGTCTGTGAACGGTGGCAGCCTTGACAATCCAATGGAGCTAGGTTCTGTTCCACAGCTCAAGACCCAGAGAGAGTTATAATTGATTGGTCAATAAATATTTCGAGGGATGGAGTGGGTTTTTTTGGGGGTGGCGGTCAGGAGGGACTATTGGGAGGCAGAATGAGAGAAGGGTTAGCAGGTGTGGGAGGAGGCCCCACCCAGGATTCCATCAAAGTGTCAGAAACGAGCTTGGAACAGAGAGATGCAGATGACATCTTCCCAACCTGTGCTGTTAGCTGGTTAAGTCCTCCACAGAGTTGCATTCAGTTGGTTCACACAGGTTCAGCAGATTTGATACCTACTTATTTTTTTTGAGTACAGTGAACTGCTTTTAAAATGTCACTTGCAGACAGACCTGGAATTATGCATGCTCTGGGTGGTGGTGGTTATTAGTATCATTATTGTCTTTTCTTCACGCTCTCTTTTTATTCAATCTTTTGTTTTCTCTGCATCATTACATCTACCTATGTCAGATTGGCACGGGAAGCAAGCTTGAGAAAGCAAGGGGACCCATGGTTTTGGAGGGCCTTGGGGGAAGGAGGAGATGGAGCAAGGGAGTGGTGAGTAAACAATGCCATAGACAGGGGAACAACTAGGGAACTAAAATCAACGAGGAGGGCCTAGGCATCATGGGGGTGTTGCAGCCGCAGCAATCTAGCTAAGAGGAATTCCTAAGAGACACAAGAAGGGTGAGCATGAGTGTAGGGCAGGAGGAAGGTCAAAGGAAATTGAGGAAAAATCTGGAAAGCAATGCTAAGGATAGAGCTATAAACATAGATGTGTACATATGTAAATACATTAATTCATAAAAATAGGGTATTGGCCCATGTATATATTTATATGGCAATACACTGAGGTAATGGAAGGACTTTGGGCTACTGCTAAAGCCTTGTCTCAACCCAAGAACACTTTGTTCTAACAACCTATGATGTTCACCCCCCCTGAACGATTGCTGAAGACAAAATGGGTGCACAAGCAAATGTGGTGAAGAAAGGTGATGGTGCCAAGACAACTAAAGATACAGCATCTGGGTCTTAAAGGCTTAAAGTTCAACAAGGGTCCATGGAGCATAGAAGCAACCAGCTGCCATGGAAGAAGCACACCAGCTTGTGCAATCTTGAGGTGTCTATGGGATCGGGTAACAGGCATCAGAAGACCCAGAACAAACAAACAGACAAACATATTTTTGAGAACGGGGGAGGTTAGAGCTGAGACCCATCTGTAGACAGACAATGGGAAATCCCCTCACAGAAGGGTCACAGGAAGAGAGGAGTCAATCAGGCCCCACTCTAGCACGGATGAAACACACACGATTCCTGTGGTTCCTTGAGGCTTCCTAGGGTCCCCCACTCCCTATTATGACCCCAGTCCTGCCTTTCACTGCAGGCTAGACTCATAAACACAGGTGCAGATAAGAGATAAGAGTTCAGGAGACAGGTCAACCAGAAAAGGAATGGGGGTAGCAGTACCAGGAGGGCAAGGGGCAATGTGGGGAGCAGAGGGAAGGAAGGGGGAAGGATCACACCGACTCACAGGGGGACAAAGAGCGGAAACCCTGTCAGTGTAAGATATGAACATAACAATTCATAATTTATCAAGGCATCATAATGGGGTGAGGGGGCAGAAGGGAAAAAGAGAAGCTGATACCAAAGGGTCAAAGAGAAAAAAAATGTTTAGAAAATAATGATGGCAACCTATCTACAAATATACTTGATACAATTGATGTAGGAATTCTTATAAGAGCCATAAGAGCCCCCTCACAAAATGATCACATTTAAATAAATACATAACAATTAATAATAAATAAATAAAATGTCATTTGTAACCATGGTTCTCTCTAAGGTGGGCATCTGGCGCACCAACCAAGGTGGCAATCACAAATGTATATCCCTTTCTCCGTTTAATTTTAGGGCACGTAGCCTCAATAAAACACTTATTAGCTCAGCCAACCTGTTCTTTTTTTTTTTTTAATCATTTTATTAGGGCCTCATACAACTCTTATCCCAATCCATACACACATCAATTGTGTAAAGCGCATTTGTACATTCATTGCCCTCATCATTCTCAAAACATTTTCTCTCCACTTAAACCCTCCAGCATTAGGTCCTCATTTTCCCCTCTCTCCCGTTCCCCCCTCCCTCTTGAGCTCTTGATAGTTTATAAATTGGTATTTTTGTCATATCTTGCCCTGTCCGACGTCTCCCTTCACCCACTTTTCTGTTGTCTGTCCCCCAGGAAGGAGGTCACATATAGTTCCTTATAATCGCCAACCTGTTCTTACATTACTTGCATGCCACCTGAGTGTGGATTGGTGCAGATCTTGGGGACAGGAAGGACAACTGGCTTAGGCTGATGGGACGCAGCCCACATATGAAGCTGTCCCTTCCCACCAGGCCCCTTGTTGGGCTTCATCTCAATTGCATAGCCCCTGGGGTTCCCGGAAGTGGTTCTGGAGGCACCCCTAGACAGGAAAGTGCCCCAGGTGACTTGGGGGCGCCATCAACATACCTGCACTTGTCGCTCCTCCAGACCCAGGCTACGGGCGAGGTAACGTTTCTCACAGGAATCCACGTACTGCTTCCGCTCAAAGAAGGCGTTCAGCACCTCCGCCTGTTCCGGGGTGAACACTGTGCGTTTCTGTGGCTTGGACTGGTGGGCAGGCTTTGGATCTGCAGACAGAAAAAGTGGTCAGACCAGCCGGCCGGCCACCCTCCCTGTGGGGCCAAGCCTAGCTTGCATCGGAACCTCCAGCCTGACAGGCCTGGGCTTCCCTAAGCCTCAGTGTTCACATCTGTTAAATGGACGCGAGGGGAAGAAACCATCGCTCCCAGAACACGCTGAGTCACAGCTCAGAGCAGAATTGCTCTCTGGGGTGTCGGGGGCTGGGTCACCTGAGGAAGAGAGCACAAAGGGGGTTGCGACACACCAGGGCTTCAAAGCCACTGGCAGCATCTCAGGAGAAGGATGGGGCTGTCTCATCTGGGGTGTTTTTATTTCCCCCAAACGCTGTGCCATTCTGCCACAAATAGGAAGTGGACACAGGGCGCTGAGTTGGGTTTTAGGGCCTTCCATACCCAGCCTGCCAAGCCTTCCTCTTCCAAGGACACGTCAGTCCTTTAGCTCACGCACCACGGGGACTTTCTGCGGAGCGATGGCAGAACCAGTGGACAAGGGCTCCCAGGTGCGCACTGGCTGAGCTTTGGACTGCGGACCACAACAGTCTCCGTGCAATCTCACCAGCTACACCTCGGGCAGACGTGGAAGCTGCGTCTCCTGTGGCAGTCTACTGAGGACATAGGTTCTAGTCCTGTCACAGGGACCACTCAGCCTGTTCTGAGGGCTTCCCAAAACCACCGGAGCCCCTTCCCACACCTCCGGGGGCTGAGTTCCCACTGAGATTGTGTTCCACCCTTGGCTGTCCTGTTGCCATGCAATGTGCAGCTTCAGGCTCTAGACTCCCCAAGACACCACGGAAGAAATGGTTTCTAACAAACTTAATGGTTCCCAGGCCCAGAGGGCACCCTCCAGCTTCCACCACGAACCCATAAAGCCCCTTCTGACCCTTACCTCCAAAACCAGGGTCCCTTTCAGCCTTCTGGCCTCCAGATGCACTCTGCTGCCTGCTGCGTTTGCCCATCAGGGTTGGACAGTTGAACAGGTCCATGGTTGCCTTCCCTAGTCCACACAGGGTTTAAATAATGATCCACCTGAGAGGATCACCGGAATAAGCCCTTCCTTCTGGGACCCACCCGGTAGACCCTCCCTGACAGCCCTGCCCTAGGATCTGCCCCCAGGGTAGCAGAACAGGGGTGATTCCTTCAAACTCTGTGTGGTAGGCATCCTGGAGTTGGCTAGGGTGGGGTGCATTCTGACTCAGAGGACTCTATCTATTGAGAACAGATAGAGACCCCACTTTGTCCTGAGCCATCCTCATCAATGTTGTATTTGAATTGAATTTGAGTTCTTCTATTTTGTGCACTGACATTCCCACATCCCCGGAAGGACCCCACCCCACGCCCCCGTAAGCACACGTGATTCCAGGTTTGTCCATAAGTGAAATTTTAACAAGCAGCTTGCTGCACTCAACAGAAAGAGCAGGTATCGGATCTGTCTTACCTGTGTGAACCTACTGAATCCCAGCGCTGCCCCATCTCATGCAACTCTTGCAGGCCTGAACCAGCTAACAGCACAGATTGGTCACGATGTCAACCACATCTCCCTGTACCAAGGCCATTTTTGACACTTGGGAACCCTGTGCAGGGAAGCTTCGGTGGAGTCCCGGTGTGTCCTCATCCCACACATGTTAACCCTTCTTTCAGTCCACCTCCCAGTAGTCCCTCCTGACTGCCAGCCCCAAAGAAACTCACTCCACCCTTAGTGATATTTATTAATATATTTTTTCATAATATTTCTTGACAACTCATTTGCAACTCTCTCTGGATCTTGAGCTGTGGAACAGAACCTAGCTCCATCGGACTTTCAAGACTGCAGCATTTCACAGACAGATCCCTCCCCTGTTTTCAAGGAACATCCAGGTATATTTGATCCACAGATCTTGAGGTTAGCAGTGAAGTGCAAACTGCTTGCAGTTCCAAGCCCAAGGGATAAGCCACTATGTGCTTAGGACAAATTCCCTGAACCTCAGGGGACTTCTAATTGAGTGTGTGGTCAAGAAAGGCCTTCCTTGCAAGGGAGCAGTGTCAGTGTTAGGGTGTTTAGGCTGCGCAAGACCCTCGCCACTTTTGAACCCCTTCTCACTGTCCCCTCTGGGTCCACAGGTGTGGTTCATGAAATATCAGGTCAAACTGGCTAGAGAACATCGCCAGGAGATAGAGTTTCTCACCCAGCACCTCAATCTTTCCACCCTGAAGCTCGACCTTTCAATGGACCGTGTCCATTCTTCCACACACCCACTAGATCTCAGCCCCTATCAGCTCCATCTTTCCACCAGCAGCTCCGGCCATCCTCTCTCATCAGCTAGATCATTCCATCCAGCAGCTCACTCCTGCCCCCACTAGCTCATTGCTGCCACCTCAATACCAGTCTTCATCCAGAACCCACTCACACTTCACACCATGGGTCTAGCCTGGACTTCTCTGGGTCCTTCTGATTCCACACCCCAATCCCTTTTCCAAAGGCCCCCTCTCTGCCCCCACACAATGACTGAGGGCCACCACAAGCACCCAAATTAACTGAATTGATAGGCATTTCTGGAGAGGCTACACCCCGAAGGACAGCGCAAGAGTGCTTGGGATATTGGTGCCTACAACCACCTTGTAATTGCAGTGATTGCCAAATGGTTACACTGCTTTCTCACGTCTGCAAGCACCAGGACTAATCCAGATCCACAAATTTTCATCACTGGCGACTCTCCCAAGTCTCCCTGTGAATCCCATGGGTGCCTGAGAATGTCCCCGTCTGAGGTCTTTTGGTTTCCAATTCGCCTTACTGCCCCATATTCCTTCCGCCAGAGTTCGAAACTCCCTCATGGCTGTCTGCAGCCTCAGCCTTTATACATGTGGTCACCTTCTGTTATCAAACTTTTGGTGTTTAGGTGTTTAATATTCTGTTTTGTAAAGTGCATTAAAATACCAACAATGCATGCGTTCTGAAATAAAATTATGTCTTCAGTCAAAACTAGGCTTTCACTTGATTGATCTCTGCTCTTGATGATTGCCTTTTGTCTCTTTGCCTGAGAACTATTCGATGGGAAGCGTAGGCCCTCTTCAACAAAGGGTTATGGCAAAGCTGGGTATCCAACCGCAGGAGAATGAAACAGGACCGGTACCTGAGTGCATGCACGGAAACCAACTCAAGTGGATCAGAGCCCAAAATGTAAACTCTAAATCTATCAGGATCATCAAAGAGGAAGCTGGGGTGAACCAACACCACAAAACAAAGAAAGAAACTACCTTCAAGGATCCTGGCCTTAAAAAAAAATCCCTACAGATTCCCAACTCCTCAGATCCAAATATTGATCTCCCTGGCTAACAAAATCGTTGGGAACTCAACAGATGTTGGAATGTTTAATGACCTACAAGTTCATTTCGAACCTAAGAAATGCATATAAATGTGTGTGGGTACATATTTGTGTTATCCTTGGTTATGGACATCGGTCATGGTGGTGTAGTGGTTGTGTGTGGCTCTCCAATCCCCCATGGTTGGCAGCCAGCAAGTGCCAGCAGCTCATCGGGAGAAAATGGGGACGTTCAACTCCCGTGGAGAATTACAGTCCCCCAAATCTACAGAGAGTTTCTATGGATCATCGTTGCCTCCATGGCCGAGTTTGCTTTGGGGTTGGAAAAGGCCACTGGCTTCCAAGGATTATCATCAAATCAACCCAGAGATTCCTCAGGAGAAACGTGTGGTGATCTCCCTGTGGAAAGCGATCTCCCTGTGGAAACCCAGGGAACGCACTTTTGCTCTGACATGCATGGGGCATCCATGAGTCAAAGTCAACTTGATGCCAACTGGTTGTTCAGTAGATGTCCCGCTGGCTCAAGTATTGAAATAAGAATCTGAGTTTGGTAAATACTACCTCATCAAGGCAGTAATCGTCTCTCTGTGTTTGCCTGGAACGGAGGGGCTTCCTGGGATGTGGGAATTTCATTGCACAAAATAAAAGAACTCAAATCCAATTCAAATACAACATTGATGAGCATTTGCTTAGGACAAAGTTGGGTCTCTTTCTGTTCTCCATAGACAGTGTCTTCTGAGTCAGAATGCACCCCAAGGGGCCTACATACAAATCCACCTCCTCCACCTCCTATGCCCTACCATTCATACCATGAAGGAGTCAACAGCGTTCTCCTACCCTGGAGGCAGATCCTAGGGCAGGGCTCTCAGGGAGGGTCTACCGGGTGGGTCCAGGAAGGGAGGGCTTATTCCGGTGATCCTCTCAGGTGGATCATTATTTAAACCCTGTGTGGACTAGGGAAGGGAACAACGGAACTGTTCAACTGTCCAACCCTGATGGGCAAACGCAGCAGGCAGCAGAGTGCATCTGGAGGCCAGAAGGCTGAAAGGGACCCTGGTTTTGGAGGTAAGGGTCAGAAGGGGCGTTATGGGTTCGTGGTGGAAGCTGGAGGGTGCCCTCTGGGCCTGGGAACCATTAAGTTTGTTAGAAACCATTTCTTCCGTGGTGTCTTGGGGAGTCTAGAGCCTGAAGCTGCACATTGCATGGCAACAGGACAGCCAAGGGTGGAACACAATCTCAGTGGGAACTCAGCCCCCGGAGGTGTGGGAAGGGGCTCCGGTGGCTTGGGGAAGCCCTCAGAACAGGCTGAGTGGTCCCTGTGACAGGACTAGAACCTATGTCCTCAGTAGACTGCCACAGGAGACGCAGCTTCCACGTCTGCCCGAGGTGTAGCTGGTGAGATTGCACGGAGACTGTTGTGGTCCGCAGTCCAAAGCTCAGCCAGTGCGCACCCGGGAACCCTTGTCCACTGGTTCTGCCATCGCTCCGCAGAAAGTCCCCGTGGTGCGTGAGCTAAAGGACTGACGTGTCCTTGGAAGAGGAAGGCTTGGCAGGCTGGGTATGGAAGGCCCTAAAACCCAACTCAGCGCCCTGTGTCCACTTCCTATTTGTGGCAGAATGGCACAGCGTTTGGGGGAAATAAAAACACCCCAGATGAGACAGCCCCATCCTTCTCCTGAGACGCTGCCAGTGGCTTTGAAGCCCTGATGTGTCCCAACCCGCTTTGTGCTCTCTCTTCCTCAGGTGACCCAGCCCCCGACACCCCAGAGAGCAATTCTGCTCTGAGCTGTGACTCAGCGTGTTCTGGGAGCGATGGTTTCTTCCCTTATGTCCGTTTAACAGATGTGAACACTGAGGCTTAGGGAAGCCCAGGCCTGTCAGGCTGGAGGTTCCGATGCAAGATAGGCTTGGCCCCACGGGGAGGGTGGCCGGCCGGCTGGTCTGACCACTTTTTCTGTCTGCAGATCCAAAGCCTGCCCAACAGTCCAAGCCACAGAAACGCACAGTGTTCACCCCGGAACAGGTGGAGGTGCTGAACGCCTTCTTTGAGCGGAAGCAGTACGTGGATTCCAGCGATAAGCTTCACTTGGCCCACAAGCTGGGTCTGGAGGTGCAACAAGTGCAGGTATGCTGAGGGCACCCCAAGTCACCTGGGGCACTTTCCTGTCTAGGGGTGCCTCCAGAACCACCTCCGGGAACCCCAGGGGCTATGCAATTGAGATAAAGCCCAACAAGGGGCTTGGTGGGAAGGGACAGCTTCATATGTGGGCTGATGCATGTTTGTGCCTGCGTCCCATGAGCCAGAGGCATCCGCACGTGCCCTAAGCCAGTCACCCACCCTGTCCCCAAGATCTGCACCAATCCACAGTCGGGTAACATGCAAATAAAGTAAGAGCTGGTTGGCTGAGCTAATAAGTGTTTTAGTGAGACTATATGCCCTGAACGTTAAAAGAGAGTAAGGGATATACATTTGTGGTTTCCACCTTGGGGGCTGGCAGATGCCCACCTTAAAGAGAACCTTGGTTACAAGCAACATTTTATTTATTTGTTGTTAAATTTTGTTTATTTATTTTAAAATCATCATCTTATTGCGGGTTCTGACGGCTCATAACAATTGATACATCCATTGAATCAAACATATTTGTACATATGTTGCCATTTTTATTTTCTAAGACTTTACTTTCTAT